CCTTGGTGATCCAATGGCTTCTCGCTATTGTAACACTGCTACTTGTATCCTACAGGACATGTTGGCTAGGGGTGAGACCTGTGGTCTAACAACTTGGGCAACCAAAGTTAGGAATCACCCAAGCTGCTGGTCAAGGATGGGGGCAGTTTCATTAGATCACTGCTTCTTAAACTGTGGGTCCTGACCCCAAATTGGATACCCTTAACTCAATGCTGGGGTCATGAAAAAATTGATAACAGTAAAAGATTTCTGAATGCCACCCATTTACACAAATCTGTTAACGGCAATATGCAGTGTTCACAGTGGACTCTGCACAAGATGCTTCAGCTCTATTTCATAAAAAGGAAATCCAGCTGTTTAGCAAGTGTTACAAATGATAATTTATTATTAGTAAATGTTTGATTTGTATATCTCTTTTATATACCTATATACCTGGGGTCACATAAGAATTTATCAGGCGGAAAGAGTCAGAGTGGATCATACATGACCAGACATTAAGAATAGTTTTTAGCTCATATTTCATAGTTAACCACAAACGTTAAGAAATGGTTTCTCGCTATTGTTAAGAAAGGTAAACACTTGGTGCATCTCCTCTTGATTTGAGGAATGATTACTTTAAATTGATCATATAAACACATTACAAGTTCATTATTTAAAAGAAACATCATTAACCACCTTCAAAATATCACTTTCACCAATGTAAGTGAAATAATTGTAATGGTTAAAATTGGCATAAGAGGGTTTTTTAAAAAATCTGAACATGATTAAGAAAGCTTGCTGCTTAATGGAATCATAAAAATGTTGTTGAACTCATTTTTATTCAATAGTTCTCCTTATTTTTAATGAAAATCACCATTTTGGCTCCATTTGAAAAATAGAAAGTTATCCATTAGCACTGTAAAAATGGGACAGGATTCAGAAATAATGTGCACAGATAAAAGCATGCTTTGTTTTTCTTTTTTTCTGCAGGAAGGGAAGAGAGAATCAATGACATTAAGTGGTTCGCTGGATAGCTGACAAGTATCTCAAGAGGATGCAGAGTAAGAAAGCATAGAGAAACATCTCAGTTTTGATTGGAAGGTAATATGAAATGATAACTACAACATAATCTTATCTGGTTTACTACACTTCTCTAAATCTAACTGTCTAGCTAATTTTGACACTTTAAATATTCCAACTCCAATGAGCCTTCCACATTCAAATCTCTGGGGCCTTCACATAGCAAAACCATTGGGTCCTCAAGCACGATTCTATGGCAACCTCTGTCAGAAGGTAACCACAGAATCTGGGACCTACAAAATGCTGAGAGAAATGTTCTCCCTAGGAATTTCTAGATCCTCTACCTCAACTCTATGGTCAACAAAGATACTGAAAGACCTAGAAATTCCTAGAGAGAATACATAAATAAAATCCTCAAAACCTAAACCTGCAAATATGGAGGGCCAGCAATAGTGTACAACAGAAATGACCATTTGCAAGGATGACAGATTCATATAAGGTAAGATTCAGCCTAATTTGGTTCTACTATAGTTTATGTGCCTTCAAGTCACTTATGAAAACTTCACATCAACTTATGGTAACCCCATAAATTTCACAGCATTTTCTTTGCCAAGGAATACTCAGAGATGGTTTACCCCAGTTCCTTCCTCCTAGCCAACAGCACCTGGGAATTCATTGCCACTCTCCCATCCAAGTCCTAAGTAAAGTAGGATACTTCTACTTGGGTTCCATGATCAGATGCCTCCCAAATATTTAGTAACTGAGAGGTGGGTAAATTTCAGGGGATGCACCTCTGTCTCTTATTCATGGCCTTCACAATGCCTCTCTAATAGAGGTAGGCTGCTTTCCTTACTTGTCTCAACCCTTTTAAAAATCATTTTCTCATTATTTTTCTGCATTTATATTCCTTTCCCTATCTGTTTTATATAGATGTAGGCATTTTAAGATCAACAATGCAATTTACACACCCCCATTGTAATCTCCCAAATAAACATATCCTCTCCTTCTCTTTAGCTCTTCCTGAATATGTTCTCTCTGTCCTTTTTAAAAGGAGTTTCCCCTAAATTTTACCTTCAAAGTATCTACAGGCAATAGCAAAATCCAAAACTTTGGCCCCCAAACCCAGTTTATTTATTTCCTATATTTATACCCTGCTCTTCTCACGCCGAGGGAGGCTCGACTTATACATGGGGTTGACATATACATACATGAACCATATTTCTCCATAGTATATTTCAAAGACATGAAATGGACTTAAAGGAAAAGAAGAGGATGAAGACAAAAAAAAGTAGTTGTTTGTTGTTTATGTAACCTAAATAAGTGCCTTAACATTAGAGCTATATGAAATTCCAAGTTTGCTACCAGAATACGCATTTGCATGACTCACATAACTTTTCAATATGTTTTTTCCAAGTTGAAACAAGTATAAGAAACCTGCTTTGGACATCTTTTTCTTTGATGTGGGGGAATCAGTACATTCAATTTCCGTGCCTTTCTTATTTTACAACATAATTCCAAATTAACAGCAAAGTTTAACCAGTTCATATTCACAACAATCCGTTCCAGCTTCTATGTGCACATAATGAGTTCAACTAATTTAGACACTTGTTTGAAAAATTAAGAAATGAGCAAACCAATACCATGTTAAATTATTTACTCACAGTACACTTCATGCATCTGAAATGAATACTTCTTCTAACTTTAAAAAAATATTAATAGAAGATAGTTTTTCCACCATGCACCACAAGCACAAGCAAGAATGTAAAGTTATGGCATTTCTGCCCATTTTACATTCTATAGGTTAGAAGAGTTTGTATGGCAAACAGGTGAAAATCGCTATAAGCTAATGATGAAAACCAAAAAACAAAAATGGTGCAGAAATTTCACACACAAAAAAATGTGTTCTGAAAAAGATGCAACAGGGCATGCCTATTTGAAAAATACATGATTGAAGCCAATCGACACACTGGAGGAAGAAGTATCCTAATCCCAAAATGAAGGATGAATTAACTGAATTTTTAATATATTCTTCACAGAGGGTACCTAAGGTCAACCTGCCAAATGATGACTATTAACAATGATGGGGAACTGCTAAATCTCAAGATTATTATGTTCCCATAATTATCAATAATAGCCTGAAATAATGTGAGCCGACTAATCTGGAATTACTAATAGACATTTATACTTTAAAGTGTAATAACAGGTCAAATTTCCAGAATGTATGAGCTCACCCTTTAAAAATCACTGGAAAAGGACTGACTAATAAGCAGAGATGATTGACTTAGGACTGCATAATCCTTAGGCAATCAATTCTGTTGGGCAGTCCTTTTTTGGTGATTTGTTTAGGATGAGCTCATACACTCCTATAAGCATAATGAAGGTAAAATATTTTCATATGGAAAGTATTTCACATCCATAAGAAAATTAAAATACCATTTACTTCAAAGAAGACTACTCCCATCAAGGTTGCAGTGACCGAGAAAAGGAAGCACCCATGTTACCTGGCTGCCCCATAAAGCCTAATATTGCTCATCTTATGATTGCAATGCCGAGTATGATGGAGCGGGTATTTGATTTCTGACAGCAGCCACACCACAAAGGTGACGTATGGACTTCAAAAACAATTGTTTAAAGAGGCCAATAAGGTGTTGTGCCATCACACATTAAGATTCATGTTCACAACCTCCTGCCCATGATTTCAAAACTCAGTAGCTGTGATGACAGCCTAGAGTCTTGGGAACATGCTAATATATAAATCTAATTAAGTACAGTCATTTGCTGTAAACTACTGATTTGATTTTTGCACATACCAAAATATCTATAAAACCTAGCTGGTGCCAATTGCTTACTACTGAATACAAATGATACCCCTTGAGTGACTTAGTGTAGAAGTTTTACCATATAAACTTGTATACAAGTCAACCTCATGTATAAGTTATGTTTATTACTAGACTTACACATTGGTATATACAGGAAACCATGCTTAAAGCACATTGACTACACTTCTATAATTCTAGGCACTGCAATTTAAGGAAGATGCTGACAAGCTGGAATGTGTCCAGCGGAAGCCAACTAAAATGATCAAGGGTCTGGAGAACAGGCCCTATGAAGAGAATAAGCCCTATGAAGAGCGGCTTAAAGAGCTGGGCATGTTTAGCCTGAAGAAGAGAAGGCTGAGAGGAGCCATGATGGCCATGTATAAATATGTGAGGGGAAGTCATACGGAGGAGGGAGTAGGCTTGTTTTCTGCTGCCCTGGAGGGAGGACACAAATTCAAACTACAGGAAAGGAGATTCCACTTCAACATTAGGAAGAACTTCCTAACTGTGAGAGCTGTTCAGCAGTGGAACTCACTGCCCCAGAGTGTGGTGAAGGCTCTTTCTTTGGAGACTTTTAAACAGAGGCTGGATGGCCATCTGTCAGGGGTGCTTTGAATACAATTTCCCTGCTTCTCGGCAGGGGGTTGGACTGGATGGCCCACAAGGTCTCTTCCAACTCTATGAGTCTATGACTCTATGAAATGTGTTTTCAGGATCATTGACAATATGTACTCAAAGATAAGACTAGAAATATACATGATTTATACATGAGGTCAACTTATACACCAGTATATATGGTGGATTTCATAAAATGAAATAACTTGACCATAAACACCCACACTTGTCTTTCAGGCATAAAAAAATTATGCAGCATGACTTCTGAGTATAATTTCTTTTGAAGCCAAGAACAAAGGCAAGTGACGCTAATCCCTACGAAAGTTAAAATCTAAAAAGCAAAACTGAATGCATCTTTTTCCTCAGTCAATGTTGAAGCTGTTTTGAAGTGGGATTTTGTTGTTAATAGAAATATGCTACAGACGGTCTTTTTGTAGAAATGACAATCATGCATTCATTTCTACCATAGCATACACATTTAAAAAACACAAAAAAATAAAAAGCAATGAAAGACAGGCGGTGTTTCAAGTGGCAACCTCATGCAGCATGGGTTTGTAAAGTACATACCCAGAAAGGATCTCTTGGGAGGTGTTTTGAATTCTTCATCTTTACTATCTGCAGCTACATTAAAAGATTGAAGAGAAAGCAAAGAGAAAACAAAGTAGTTTGACTCCTCTCGAATTTTAGATTAATTTAATGTTAGTATGTCGTGCTGCTAGTCATCATGCCAAAAGTTGGTTTAGTTCCTTCGACATCTAAGAGGCAAACTTGCAGATTTTGAAGCTACAAGAAACGGAGTCACAATATGCTGCAGAAAAATAATTGGAAAAAATACCCAAAGCAAGTCTGATATAAGGTATAATCCATGACCTAAGCAAATATCTAATTAATTAATTATTACCAATCACATATCATTGTAAGCTTTGATAAAACAAAGGTTCGGTAAAACTGTTTCATTTAAAATATTTAGAAGCTCAATCAAATAAAAACAAAAAGAAAAAGCTTAGCTTAGTACTTTATTATTACTATTTTTACAAAACACAGAAAAGTTTACAGTGTTCAGTGCATTTAAGTTCAGATTCTACCAGTCAGTTACTGAAAAAAAGGTTTACATTTTTATTATTTCAGTCCATTTGTGTGTGTGGGGGGGGGAGGTTTCTCGGGTTTTAGAACTCAATAATGGTCATTTATAGAAAAAAAGAGCAATTTGATTCTGTCCACAACTACCTCGTCACACTAGAGAATGAATCCACTTTAAATCCGGTCTCTGCCTCCTACAGAATTCTAGGGTTTGTAGTTTAGGGAGGAGCCTTTAACAGCCTCCCTAAACTACAAATCCCAGAATTCTGCAAGAGGCAGAAACCGGATTTAAAGTGGAATCATTCTCTAGTATGATGAAGTGCACTTGCCAAGATAATCCAATTCTGTATGGAAAAGAAAACAACGATAGCAAAAGCATTGGCTATACATAGTCAAGCCTATTTTAATAATACATTTGCAGCTGAGTTTTTAAAAAGTGAATTCAGCATAAACTCTGTATCTATAATTTACAAGTTGCACCTGTGAGTCATTCCAGAAGAGAATTTTTAAGAGAGATTTTTCAGATATCAAGCGAATTAATTCTTTTATGTTATTCCTGGGAAGTCTGTGACTGAAGAAAAATCTTGCACCAATATCAATAATAAATGCACAAGTCTACAGCAAGCCATAACAGATCTATACATTTTTAATAATTAAAAATAATCTTATTTCCCTTTTAAGTAACCTAAGAATACACAATCCATGGATTGAAAACAAACTGACAGAAGACAATCAAACAAACCGCAAACAGATCTGGCTTAAATATTCCTGGCCTTTTGTTTATGGAGATCAATACAAGGATACCTCTGTTAACAAAGTCAATGTGCTTCTCAGTATTCCTTCTTTAACAGAAAGTTTGGTACCAGAGGCAATGATAACATGAAAATAACAGGGATAGGTTCCTACATCACAAAAAAGAAGTATTTAATGTGTTTCAGCAGTCTTTTATTGACACTAACAATGTGTACACATAAAATGACTCAACTAGGTCAGGTAAGACTTGCAAAGGTAAAAAAAACATTTTGCGTATTCTAGCAATCAGTTGAAAGCTTCTTCCAAACTATATTGAAGTTTGGGCTCTTTCCACAGCTTCCTTATAAATTTCCATTTTGGTGGCTAAAGTCATAGATTTGTGCTTTTTTGCTTTTTTTAATATGTTGGGATTAGATGGTAAGGAGCATATGCTCTCCCCTTTTGTCTGTTTTGAGGTTCATGCAAGAGATTCTTGGGGCAGCTGGTTTGTACCAAATCGTTGACATAAACAATGGGCACAGACAGAGATGTAGTAAGATCAGCGAGAGAAAAATCCTATCTTTCCATGCTCAAACTTTATTGCATCAATTCGAGTATGTAACACGACTTTTGTACCTGGGTTATACATGTCATTTCCTAATGGGTTCTATCGTAAAACATGGAAAAGGTTTATTAAACTGCAAAAACTTTGTTTTTGCGGGACATCCTGCAGCACATTTTGCTATAGTTTTTTAAGGAATATATCATTGAGTCTCAACCAATTCAACCTAGTTTGCGGCAGCCTCAAAAGCAAAGTTTCTGGAGTATAAGAACTACTTTCAAAGTAAGTACCACACCATTAAATAGGAAATACCACATTCAAACAAGGAACATTTTTTTAAATTTTTGTTACATAATGTTAATATAGACATGATTCTGAAACCCAACACCAAAAGTTTTTGTTTTTCCAGTTGTCATTCACTTTTCTCGCAATGCTGACACGGTTGAAACATTTTCAGCTATACAGTCATCACCCCACACACACCCCAGTGTTCACTGGGATCAGGGTCACAGGGCCCCTATGAAAGTGAAAAACTGCATAAGAGAGAATTTGCTGATTTATTTAACTGAGATAACCATTCCTAGGGATTTCTAGGGATTTCTAGGTTTTCCAGAGTTGCTCTGTTAAATTTGCACTGGAAGCTGACCATAGAATCACACTAAGAGATTCCTAAAGAAGTGTTCTCTCTTGAAATCTCTAGGTCCTTCAGCACAGCAGGAAGAAACTGACCAGAATTGCACTAGAAGACCTCAAGATTGTAGAAAGAACACTTTAAATCAAATATGTGGATAATCGGATCTTCAAAAAATCAAAACTGCAAATGAGGAGGATGACTATACAGATGAAAAAGGAGGTCCACAGGCATAAAAAAGTGTTAAAAGAAACTTCTTTGTCAGAGGCTTTGTTAACTGAGGTATGCTTGTACCGAAAAGAAAATGGTTTTTAATAAGGAAACATTCATTTTACTTCCTAGGAGATGAGAATTTTTTTAAGTCCTCTGTTACGACCTAGAAAGTGAGATATTTCAGAAGACTCACAATTTACATACTGTACAAATTTAAATGCTTTGAACAACAACAACAACAACAACAACAACAACAAAACAACATCTTTATTTTTATACCCTGCATATCTCCCCGATGAGAATTGGGGCGGCTTACATGTGGGACAATTGTCCATAGAAACATAAAAGCAAAACAATCCATAAAATAAAACACATTAAACATAGTAAAATAAAACAGAGTGCACTGGAGCTTCTATCAGTCCACATTCAACATAAACCAATAACCGGATTTCTAAGATGGATCTGGTCAAGCTATATAAGGGCTGGGCAGGGGCAGTGCAAATAGCAAACCACAGGGCTGGGGCAGTGGATGAAGTGCAAAACAGAGTACTTCTAATGGCCTAGGGACTGGGCATGCATGGCTAGGGACTAATCGTTCTCAAAAACTAGCTGGAACATCCAGGATTTCAAATCCCTATGAAAGGCGGACAGACTGGGGGCTTGCCTACTCTCCCTGGGAAGGGTGTTCCAAAGACAAGGGGCTACCACCAAGAAAGCCCTCTCCCTTGTTGCCACCAACTGTGTTGCGACAGTGGTGGAAGCAAAAGGAGGGCCTCCCTGGCAGATCTTAGAGCCCGAGTCAGTTCATAGGGGGAGAAGCAGACACAAAGATAGGTGGGGCTTTGTAGGTCATACCCTGCACCTTGAATTGGGTTTGCTCTCATCTGCGTGTCATTAAATTCAGATGATATGGGAAACAAGCCAGGCTTGAGAGCACAACATTCCATTTCTCGAATTAACACACAAAAAAAGATTTTTTTTTGTTTGTTTGAAAGAGATGTGCCTATATGGGCCACTAGGGCAATGCCTTTTCACAATTGTCCACTCTAAAAGAATGTTTTCAAAAAGATGTATAAAAGAAGAAGTACCAAAGAATGAAGGAATTAAAGAAAACTGTAGAAAGTTGTATTGCAACAGAAAAACAAAAAGGAAAGTCAAAAGTGGACAAGAAAACAAAAAGAAAGCTGATCCGAATTTCAACAACCATCAGTTCATATTTTAATCCAGTTTCTGCCATCCCTTCTACAGAACAGACATCCACAGATAGTTTGTACGTTTCCTCTTAGAAGGAGCTTTACATTAACATTCTTCTGACAGGCATGATCATGATGCAAATGCTTGTTGAGGAAATGTTGAAATCCTCACTGAAACAACAGGAGTTAGGCAACTACTGAGGCCTGACTCTCCAATGAGCAGTGAAGTGAAATAACAAACTTCAGAGAATTATAATAATAATAAAGCCGATTTCCATCAGGTGAGCTGCACACTCCTTTAGTGCTGAATTAACAAGAGAGAATTAGACGCAATACTATAATTGCCACTTTATAATTTTGGAAAACCAAATGAAGTGAAACCACAAAAAGCCAATATTAAACAACTTCACTAACCAATGACTTCAACCAACCTGAAAAGGAGCGCCGTTTTATGTTCAGCTCATTTGTCACCCGTACTTCAGTGCACAGTTTCAGCATCAATAACATTGTAATTATCATTATAATGCTCTGCAACAGCAGCGGAGACTCAAAGTGCCTCCCAAACCTAGAAGGAGGGGGAGAAAACAGAGACATCAGATCATGAAGAGTGGGAGCCCCCACTAATTCAGCAAAAACATACAGTATATATGTAAAGAAAAATATTCTTCTAAGCCTATGTTAATATTTTACTGATTTGTATTTCTTTGTGTTTGTTTAAGAAAACTTTATCTCGCCCTCTATCCAAGGATTTCAAACAGGGAATAAAATCAGTTTAACACATTTTAAAAATATAAAACAGTAGGAAACAATTTTAACAATAAGAGACAATATTAAATAATTTGCCAAGGTAATATGGAAGAATTCAAATAAATTGCAACCCTTTAACAACATGTTCAAATTTGGATGAAGTATGTTTTCCTTTTTATGTGTGACTTCCTTTTGTTGTATATGCCTGTGCTGTAATTTTGCTATTGTATGCCAATACCCTCTGGTGGCGCAATGGGTTAAGCTGCTGAGCTGCTGAACTTGCTAACTGAAAGGTTGGCGGTTCGAATCCAGGGAGCGGGGTAAGCTCCCGTTGTTAGGCCCAGCTTCTGCCAACCTAGCAGTTTGAAAACATGCAAATATGAGTAGGTCAATAGGTACCACTTCAGTAGGAAGGTAACCGAGCTCCATGCAGTCATACTGACCACATGACCTTGGAGGTGTCTACAGACAACGCTGGCTCTTTGACTTAGAAATAGAGATGAGCACCACCACCCCAGAGTTGGACAGAACTAAACTTAATGTCTGGGAAAACCTTTACTTATGTCAATAAAGGCCGTGTGTGTGTGTATCATTGCAGGATTTCATGTAAATATCCAAAACTAGAGGTCATAGTGAACCGTTGTGCTGGCAGGGCTGCTGACCGAAAAGTCGGCGGTTTTGAATCTGTGGAGCGGGGTGAGCTCCTGTCTGTCATCTCCAGCTTCTCATGCAGGGACATGAGAGAAGCCTCCCACAGGATGATAAAATATCTGGTCTTTCCGTGGGCAATGTCCTTGCAGATGGCCAATTCTCTCACAACAGAAGTAACTTGCAGTTTCTCAAGTCGCTCCTGACATGAAAAAAAAGCAACTCACCCTAAAAGTCGTCATGACTTCATTCAATTACTTTATGAAAATATTAAATATCTTGGGAGACAGGGTAGAAACATGCAACACCTCACAGCTTAATAGAAAACAGGCAAAGCAGGGATTCTCTGATAAGTGTCTCCAGAACCAGCCCCAATGATAAGAGCAGAATCCCCAGAACGCAATCCCAGTCCAATAAGGTACCCTGGTCAGTAGTAAAAAGCCAGCAAGAGATTCAGGAAGATACCCCTCTTGTCATTTTAAGCCCATTCCTTCCTCTGGTCTTTATTCTCTTTTGCAGAATGGTGTGGAGACAGCTTTACACCTCTTTACAAGGAGCTTGCAGACATCTCCTTGATGAGAAGGTGGATGGTATTTCTGGATCCAGCTTCCAATGTGTATTTTTTTCAGAACCAGAGAAAGGAATTGCCTCCTTCAGATTACTGGAGGCTAAATGCTTCTTTCTATGCTGTAATTACGTTGCAACATGCTTGCCAAATGGAAGTCAACAACATTTCTTGTGGCAGTCCCTTTGCAAAACACTGGGGAATGCAATTGTGCAATATTTCAGAAATGCTGGACAAGGCCTGGCTGTCCAAAAGCATGTGACAACTCCCTTTCCACTGGTCATACTGGATAGGGTTGATGGGAGATGGGAGTCAAAAATTCTCCATCTCTTCTTAACATTTTGCTTACCTACATAGATATGTCTGGTGTTAAATATGAATAATATATGTAGTTCATATATAATATATGTGGTTCAGAGTAGTATGTACTCCCAAATAAAACAAACTTTGAAGTTACTAAGCAATAGCTAAGATTGTATGTCCTCGTATGAGTGGTCTTTGCCTCTTTCTTCTGGCCTTATAAGGTACAGGTGACATTACAAAAAAAAAAAAAAAACCCTCCAAAACCCATAGAATTCTGTTCCTGCCCTTGGATTGAAAATAGAAATTAATTCAATCTCTCCCACTACAGCCACTAGAGGGAGATCACTTCCTTTCTTAAGAGTTGAAAAAAATCACTAAAAATAAACATGCATAACCTGCTAAAACACATTGAGTATCCTGAATGGACATGCTCCCATATTTATATTTAAACTAAATAAAAATGCATGTGAAAATAGATACTTTTTATTTCTGACATGTCTTAAGCAATGGGCATTCAATGAATGTCTTAGGGATCTTCCGCCCAGACATATAACCAGAATATCAAGGCAGAAAATCCCACAATATCTGCTTTGAACTAGGAAATCTGAGTCTACACTGCCATATATTCCAGTTTAAAGCAGAAAATCTGGGATTTTATTCAGCTGTGTGGAAGGGGCCTAAATCAAGCAAAACTTTAATTCTTGTTCAGCACCATCGAAAAACCAAATGACAACTGAAAAGGTTGTGCCAAGAGGGAGCATTCAAACAAGGAGTCTACAGTGATGAAGAAACCAATTTCTTAAAATACATGCCCTCATCAATATCATGTTCCACAATTCAACTCTGTAGTAATACAATACAAAACAGGTCATCAGAAAAGAAGAAACGTGGAGGAAACCAGCCAGACAAGTTTCACTCCCATAAACCAAAGGTAAGGCTACCAAAATTGGCTTCTGCAAGCCTTCTTTGTCTAACCAGGTCTGACAATATAGACAGTATCTGGGGGGAGAGATAGCTTTCTTACAGCAAAGTAGCCAGATGGAAAGAAATTTGAAGTTTCAGGGGATTTTTTGTATTCTCAAATGGAAATACAAATTTTATTGTTTATTGTTGTCATTACCTTTTGTATATCCACCAAACCCAGAGTTATTGGGAGTGGTGTTTGATTAGCTCAAATTGAACATTTGAACACACTTACTCTATACCAGGGTTCTCAACCTGTGGGTCTCAAGGTGTTTTGGCCTACAACTCTTGGAAATCCCAGTCTGTTTACCAGCTGTTAGGATTTCTGGGAGTTGAAGGCCAAAACATCTGGGAACCCACAAGCTACACTGCTCTATACCATCTCAATACAATATGGAGACGAGACAACACTTAACACTGCTATTCCCACCACCACCACCTCTACTACCATCCTCCATGAATATTTTACAACATATTTATTAATGCAGAATTAGACATTTTAAAGTTTTGCCTCATATCTAACAAAGGCAATTCTCTGTGGAATCATTAAAACTGGTTCTCTTTTAGTACTGTTCTCTTCCTCTCTGAATTCTAATCAGTTTCCCATCATTCTTGTAAATCCAAATATTCGTTAATGCTCTTGTCACTTGGGAAGAATTGCCTGCAGTAAAATGTTGACAAACAGAACAGCTTCTCTGAGGCAGAAGAAAGGTCAGTTTGGAAGGGATTATGAAATCATTGATCAAGGAAAATACAGGACCTATAAGGAACAGTAGGTCATGTAAACAGATGAGATAGTTAAAGAGTCAAGGATGTACTGAATCCAAGGAGCCCTCTACCCCCCCCCCCACACACACACACAAAGGGAAATAAAAGAACCATAGAATCATAGACTTGGAAGAGACTTTCTGGCCAATCCAGTCCAACCTCTGCCAAGAGCAGAACAATCACGTTCAAAGCACCCCTGACAGATGGCCATCCAGCCCCTGTTTAAAAGCCTCCAAAGAAGGAGCCTCCACCACACTTTGGGGCAGAGAGTTCCACTGTTGAACAGCTCTTACAGTCGGAAAGTAAGAAGAATGGCTAAAATAAAAATGGAAAGGAAAAAAATAACACAAGTGGAGGTGAAAGGTTAACAGAAAAATCAAGGGTTCCAGTAAGAGAGCCCAAACACCCTAAAGACATCAGAGCCTATTGATCTTAGAAGCTAAGTAGCCTTGGTTAGTACCTGAATGGGAGGCTGCCAACACATATCTGATGCTGTAGGATATATTTCAAAGGAATGAACTGGCAAAACTACCTCTGAGTATGCCTTGCATAAAACAACCCTACAAGATATATAGGCTCACTATAAATCAACAGGCAACTTGAAAGCATGCTGATAAAGCACACATTGGGGAAGCAAGGGCTGTGCTTGGCTGCAAGGAAGAGAAAAGAGACTGAGGAATAAAAAGACTACAGGACTGAAGAATAGCTGAGTTCTGCACTGTTTTAACTAAATTAGCCAACTCTTTAGCTAGATGTTTCTAGAAACCATTATAGAAAGGCCAAAAAATAGTAATATTTAGAAGGCATAGCAAACAATGCACACATTAAGTCTTCAGAACAGTTTTAGCAACATTGCCTTCTCAAATAAGTTAATTTACTAATGTCCTTCAGCTAGGCTTACTGTAGATCTAAAGTGGGACATCAGCCAAATGTTACTGGAGAGTCTACTTTCTATGACTGCATTAGATTCTCATCACAAAAGCTAGACATGCAGTGAAAACTGGCAGCTATCCAGGCCCCACTTCCTGAATTGCAGAGGTCTCTGTAATTCCATAATCAATCTAATCTGCAGACAATATAACATGAAAAAGGAGTTTTTAAAATCCATAGTCCAATCACTTCAGACATTGTGAAAGCAGGCATTTCATATATATTGCAGTTGTGCATAATAAAGTCTTTTATCATTCTAAATCTAAATGATGGATGTCAAAAACGGAAGCAGACATATGCCTGATAACTTTACAATTACAATCTCGTGCTTCCAAGGCAAAATACACCCCGGTAAACATTGTTGGCTGTCTTAATTGTATCAACCTCCCTCAAAAACCAGGAAATATCACATTTACTTTATGTCAATACTGTATTCCCTTATGATTATATAAAGAAGAAGTTAGCTACAGTATCCAAACAAATGACAAGGATTAATCTGGGAGCTAGTCACCAGTATTTGAACGAAAGGTACAATAACAACATTAGTATGCTATAGTACTAGCATAAGATTTATGGTGCTACATTTCCTGATACATCCCCATCATACAAAATATATACCAATACATTCTGGGGAAAATTCT